TAGATTTTAAATTATCAATCTATTATCAATCCTGAAAGACTGAAGAACTGATAATAGATTGCTTTTCTATACCATATAGAACTTAGCACACTGATGGACGGAGGAGTAAACACCCACAACAAATAGTGATTTTTGTGTTCAAGCCTAAAGCAATACTGTTGAATAGAACTCTCAATATAAATCCAAGAAACTTGCTTGGGACAACTTGTATAACCATAGCTGGAAAAATACAATCATCTTGACATAACAGAAATAAAGATTTGTCTAAATTCCCATCACTGGCACAAAAGAAAACTTAGACTGACTTACAGATCCTTTAGCAGTTAAAAAAAAGTAGTAATTTTTTACCAGTAGTAATTTTTCCTACATCAGAAGCATAATCTATATTGCTTTAATCAAAATTAAACTTTATAGAAAAAAATTACATTATAATTTTGTAATGTACTGTATTAATGTATTGTGCATGTGTTACATGACACTTATTTCAGAATAATTTTTTAAAATTTCTACTAATGGGTGAAGAACTATTAATTTCATTGTAATAACTGATTAAATAAAATTCATCCTATAGATGCCTTTTTGCTACTTCTCCATACAAATGAAAGTTACCTTCTGTCTCTGACCTTTGTTCTACAGAAGTAGAATTAAAATTTAAATATGCTTTCCTTTTACTTCTAAAAATGTGGAGAAGGAATTCTTAACATAATTCTCTTTAAACTTAACTCTGTTTGAACTCATGAACCTTTAAAAAACTGCCTCTATTTTGAATTGAAATATAACACCTTTTTTTAGAGTTCTAATTTAGTAAAATATAAAAGGCAAAAGAATATATATATACATATATATATATATATACACACACACATATACATATATATATATATATATATGTTATATATACATATGTTAGGTCCCTCTAAATTTTAATATTTTATTTAAAGAAGGGATCTTAAAAAAATCACAGGAAGCAGAGGCCAGCAGATGACATGGTGGTTAAGGCGTTGGACTTCCACATGGCTGACTACAGTCTGAGTCCCAGACCCAGTGGCTTGAAAAATCATGCTAGGTACATGTGCATGTGTACCAAAAATCCCAGGGGGAGAATAGAACAGAAGGGATTACTGTATTGCCATCCACCCTAGGAAGTGATTTCTCACCTTCTCTGTCTGTTTTTCTCGCTCTGGCAGAAAGAAACTCACAGGAAGTAATGTTCCTTTTGCTGCAAAAGTCTATTTGTGGACAAACCAGTCAATGTTTTCTGAAATTTATAGCCACATTGTTCCTTCAATTTTCTTAACTGTTAGAATTCTCACGAAATAAAGTGTTTATGTTTTGAAAATATGCAGTCATAATTATCTTGACTTCTTTCAGTTAGATTTTAAATTATCAATCTATTATCAATCCTGAAAGACTGAAGAACTGATAATAGATTGCTTTTCTATACCATATAGAACTTAGCACACTGATGGACGGAGGAGTAAACACCCACAACAAATAGTGATTTTTGTGTTCAAGCCTAAAGCAATACTGTTGAATAGAACTCTCAATATAAATCCAAGAAACTTGCTTGGGACAACTTGTATAACCATAGCTGGAAAAATACAATCATCTTGACATAACAGAAATAAAGATTTGTCTAAATTCCCATCACTGGCACAAAAGAAAACTTAGACTGACTTACAGATCCTTTAGCAGTTAAAAAAAAGTAGTAATTTTTTACCAGTAGTAATTTTTCCTACATCAGAAGCATAATCTATATTGCTTTAATCAAAATTAAACTTTATAGAAAAAAATTACATTATAATTTTGTAATGTACTGTATTAATGTATTGTGCATGTGTTACATGACACTTATTTCAGAATAATTTTTTAAAATTTCTACTAATGGGTGAAGAACTATTAATTTCATTGTAATAACTGATTAAATAAAATTCATCCTATAGATGCCTTTTTGCTACTTCTCCATACAAATGAAAGTTACCTTCTGTCTCTGACCTTTGTTCTACAGAAGTAGAATTAAAATTTAAATATGCTTTCCTTTTACTTCTAAAAATGTGGAGAAGGAATTCTTAACATAATTCTCTTTAAACTTAACTCTGTTTGAACTCATGAACCTTTAAAAAACTGCCTCTATTTTGAATTGAAATATAACACCTTTTTTTAGAGTTCTAATTTAGTAAAATATAAAAGGCAAAAGAATGTATAATTAATGATACTAAGGTTGATTGCTTTTTCTCTCATCTGATATAGCCAGACAGACAGATAAATGATGGGTAGATGTGATTCTACATAACTCAAGATAATAACATTAAAAAAAAAATCTTAAGACTAACTTCTCACACAAGTTCAGAGCTCTCCAACACAATATAGCTTTAATAGGAAAAAATAAATAAAAACAAAAATAAAAACAAAACAGGAGTTTTTGAGTTACAATGGATTTTAAATTTGAATGATTAAACTATGAACTCATCCAGGGACTCACAGACCTCAACCTCCTCAAACATGGTGTATTCCTGCAGGCAGGGCATTCCTCAAGGAGACCTGGGCTATTATCAGACACTGGTTCCCGAGGGACAGAAGGCTTACCAAGGAAAGTCCATGCCTACCCAGAGGGTTTTCCCCATCTTCAAACTCAGTTGCAGCATTGGGGAAGAGGGGGTTAAAAGGGAGGCAAAATGGTTCCTGAGCTACAGGGACTCCCACTGAAGTAACATCTGTTCTTACATCTTCTCCTACCCCGGACTATCCTCCCTGTATTAAATAGAAGAGAAAGGAAAAGCAACTCTGTTTGACACCTGGGAGTTTTGCTCATGCACAGATGCATGTGCAGAAACTAATCACATGAACATCAATGACATCTATGTTCATTTGGCAAAGACATCTGAGAAAATGTGCAGCAATTAAAATGAACAAATTAGATGATACATATCACGCCAAATAATGAAAACTCAACAGAGGAAATAATTTGCCTAACATGACATATAGTATAAAAAAATTAAATGTTACGAAATTACACTGACACTATAACTTGTCATTTTTTAATAATGAGATGTTTTGAGCACGATGAAAAGTACAGAGGAAAGGAACATATGTTTGATTATCTGTACTCTTCATCATCATCATCATGTTAAAACATATTCTCCTGCTTACATTATGCTTTTAAAAATGAGTAAGATAATACATGCTTATCTGAACTCAGGCCCCCTTTTTCCCTCCACATTCTGAATGTCTTTTCCCTTTCAGAGAATCACTGTACTGACCTTACAATTACTCTCCTGTGTTTTTAATATAGTCTGTCTGATTTAATCCAAAAATAATGTCATTGTTGTGCATTTAAAACTTTTTATATTGTACATGTCATTTTATAATTCGTTTTTAAAATAATATGCTTAATGACATTGGTCTTGATACGTTCCACTCTAGTTCATTAAATTTAACTCCTTTACTGTAAAAATAAATAAATAAAGTGAAATTAAATGAAAACATCTGCTATTATTCTGTCGCCAGTCTGTTTCCGGCCCTGTATCCTGAAACCAAGCACACCTGATGGGCTATTGTGTCATAGATGTGTGAATGTTAAGTCAGAACTACCAGATTCCTTCCTAATGGTGATGCAAACATATACAAATATAAAAATATGTTTTACCCTCTATCTCCACAGATTTTTTTCCCTTTGGTTTTTCTATAGGGCGCATGCGCTCGTCAGAAAGAGACAGAGACAGAGAGACAGAAAGCGAGAAATCAACCCCACAGGGGGGATGGTCACGCTGCAATCCCTTCTCTTCCATTCTCCTCTTGGGATCTTGGGCACATACACACACGCGCCCAGTGTGACTTTAAGCCACTGGTTCCGGGACTCAAACAACGGTCGGCCACATGGGAGTTCAGTGACGTAGCCTTTAAGCTAACTTCTGGGCCCCTCCACAAATTTTTTTAAGACAGGATCTGTGTGCTTGCAGGAGAAAAAGAGAGACAGAAAGTGAGAAATCACCCTCCAGGGGATGGTCACGCCACAATCCCTTCTCCTCTTGGGATTTTAGACATGTACACACATGTGCCTGGCATGAATTTAAGCTGCCTGGTCCAGGACTTGAATTGCGGTCAACTATGTGGGAGTCCAGCAATGTAACCATTATGCCATATGCTGGTCCCTTCACAGATTATTTTAAGCACCTTACGGTACAAAGCACTGCTTAGGCACTCATACATACATTACAGAATATTTGGGGAATACTTCTTTTATCAAGCTTATGATTCTCCTTTTTCTCCTTCATGCATGTGTGTGTATTTGATAGATGCTGGCCTTTGGTCACTTTAAATCTTTGGCTTTCTCTGTAAATATGACTGCCTCTCACACTGTTTAAATTAAAAACTGATAACTCCCTTGTTGTAAATTCTTCACTGGCAAGATGGCGTCCGAAAATACAAACACTAAAATATGTTCTTGAAGTTCTTTGCCTCTTCCTTTCTTTTAAAGAATATTGGGATGTCTCCTTAGGGGCCTTTAAAAACTACAACACTGAAAAAGTAACTTTTGCATTTATATTTAACATAGATTTCTACTGTTTTCATTAAAATATACTTTCTTCCAATCTGGACACTAACTTCAATTCTAAGTCACTACATGTTTTCACTGCTTCTTGTGTGTTTATTTTTATGGATTTATTTATTTTGATGGGAGGGGGTCATGCCACGGAGAGACAGAGAGATAGAGGAGAATGAGGGAGAGGGAAAAAGTGCTCCACAATGGGGCATGCTCATGCCCAAATCCCTTCACCTCCATTTGTCCATCCTGTTGGGATTTTGGTCATGCATATCCACATGCCTAATGTGTTTTTCAAGCCACTGTAGGCAGGATTCAAACCACTCAGGCCATGTGGGATCTGGCTCCCTTCATCAACAAGCCACAGGGTTGGGCCCCCATGAAAATTTATATAGACATGTCTTTGATCACCGCATTTTTAGGCACATGTGGTTCTTAAAATATTCTTGTAACTTACCCTGAAACATGCAACATCAGCAGCATGTAGAAAATAAAGAAGAGGTTATGAGTATACCAGAAGATGTCATAGTTAGAAACTCTGAAAAAACAAATAGTTTCAACATTACTTTATACTTCATCTCATAATACCGTCTTAACACACTATACAGAGAATTGAGAATTGACACAAATGGTAAATAATGATTTATCATTTTCAATATTATTTGTATTTCAAATAAAAGAACTTGAAAAAATAAAAATAAGATATGTATTTTAAAGTTATTTTGATGCAAGGTTAAGAGTGGGTAGTCTTTACTAATATATACTTTCACTGCCTTTTTTATCAATATTCTAAAATTTCAAGTGATTTCTAAAACAATTATCCTAATATGTATTTTCAGAGTAGTTTAAAAGAAATTCAAATGGAAAGAAATTTTTTAAAATGTTGTCTCTCTTCCTCAGGTTTCTCTCCCTTTGAGTGGATACACACATATATATGTGTGTGTGCTTCTCTTAAATTTTGCATCCCAACAAGTAAAATGATGAAGTATTTTTGAAGATGGAAACAAATATATCTCTTTGCTTTCTTTAAACAAAAGATTTGTTCAAAAACATAAGACATTGTAAGTATTCTGAAAAACAGAAGATACCCATCAGAAAGAAAATGAGAAAGTACTCTAGATAATGTGCATCTGAAGTTGTTCAAAATCTCTTAACTGGAAAAAATATTTGTGAACGCAAGTATTTCCCATTAATTCAGCAGATGTCTACTCCCTATATTTCCACAGCTTCATTTAGAACACTAGGTTAAATCCCAGAAAAACAAACTCAAACCAGGGTATTGTCCACCAAATCAATTTTAGGTCACATATTCTTAGAATTCCTAAGGTCCCTGGGGTACATGCTGAATTTAACCCCATGCCCTAGTGGGACACACCATGCTTTAGAAGGATGATCCTGAAGAACACAGATTTCCTTGGTCATCAAACGAAGTCTCCTTAGATGTTTCTTAGCCAACAAATCTGACTAATACGAACGTATTTTTTCAAAAATCAGAAATGATACATAAACACATCTCTGCTTACTCTTGGTTACCGAGAACAGTCCATAAACCAAGACACTGCATTGGTTAAACACTTTGGTTTATTAAGAATTTTTTCCCCTATGGTACAAATGCATTTGTCTGAGAGACAGAAAGACAGAGAAATCAGCCCCCCAGGGGATGGCCATGCCACAAATTTTAGGTCACATATTCTTAGAATTCCTAAGGTCCCTGGGGTACATGCTGAATTTAACCCCATGCCCTAGTGGGACACACCATGCTTTAGAAGGATGATCCTGAAGAACACAGATTTCCTTGGTCATCAAACGAAGTCTCCTTAGATGTTTCTTAGCCAACAAATCTGACTAATACGAACGTATTTTTTCAAAAATCAGAAATGATACATAAACACATCTCTGCTTACTCTTGGTTACCGAGAACAGTCCATAAACCAAGACACTGCATTGGTTAAACACTTTGGTTTATTAAGAATTTTTTCCCCTATGGTACAAATGCATTTGTCTGAGAGACAGAAAGACAGAGAAATCAGCCCCCCAGGGGATGGCCATGCCACAATCCTTTCTCTTCCATTCTCCCTTTGGGATTTCTGGGCACACACAAACATGCCTCGCATGTTTTTCAAGTCACAGGGTCTGGGACTGGAATGTCTAGACAGCCATGTGGGTTCCAGCTCCTCTAACTGCCACACCACTGGCTGGCCCCAAGACTCTATGAAAAGAAAGATAATCTTAACAAAATCTAAATAATCTGAATTGTAAACATCAAAATAATGACTCCAACACTTACCTTATTGCATATGTAGAAGCTGTAATCATGAGGAATAACACCACTACCATGCAGACCCCTGTCAGGCCGGGAACTATAAAAATATACATAAGTACGTTTCATCTTAAGTCATACTGAGAAAAAGTACAAAAAAATTATTACCTTCAAATCCAAAGTACTATGCTAGTCGATGGGAAGCCTAATTCAAATTGCACATCTGCTTCTACGTTTCTCCTCAACACTTTTTAAAATCCACACAGCCCTGGGATTTTAGACAAAGCAGTTTTTATCTCGCTTTAACAAAAGAATCTACTTTTGTGCTCCTAAATAGCTCACTGAGAATGGTGAGGATGCATTTACTTCCACAGGTACATGCTACACCAAGAGTCAGTAAGCAACACTACAGGATGAGTCAGCACTCGGCCGCTTTTCTGTTTTGCTTCTCTCTATCGTGGTATTGAACCTCCCTTACTCTGTCATGTCCCCTTTGATGGAGCTATTGACTCTTCCCATTTCAGTATCAAATAACTGCTTTTGTGGGATTCACTACCTACAATGATTATAAAGAAAAAAAAATTTAGAGTTTAAAAACCAAAAATATTGAACAAGAAATGTAGATCCCAAGAAAAAATGGCAATGCTGATGTTTTAAGAACACTTGCATACACAGTTCTGCTTAGTATGGACAACATGCTGAAGTCTGCACTTCTGACCTAGCATACAGTTTGTTTTCAAAAAGGAAGAAAATGCTCAAACACGGTATCAAAATTATCAGTTGCTACAAATCCAATATTAGCACATATAGCATGTCCAGAGTGACTGGCTGATACACCATATGGAAAACAGCTAAAATCTCAATAGTTTCTTTTCTTACCATTTTATTACAACCAAATTAAATATCCCATCCATAAGTTACATGTGCTTACTTTTACAATCAACAAGCAACAGTAAGGCCTAAATACCCCAGCTGAAAAACTCTGATACTGAACCACAAAGAAAAGAGACTGAAACAAATCTGGAACCGAATAGCTATTGAGGAAGGTGAGCCACCAGCAGAGGCAGGCAATCTGGGTATGACATATGAACATCACAGGTGTGTGCCATTAGGATTCCCGTGTATTTAGAGTCATAGGAGAATAACATGAGAAAACATTAAAAACTGCTTTTAATTATTTTAAATTATTTATTAAATAAGTTTTTTTTTTTAAGTACAAAAAAATTATTACCTTCAAATCCAAAGTACTATGCTAGTCGATGGGAAGCCTAATTCAAATTGCACATCTGCTTCTACGTTTCTCCTCAACACTTTTTAAAATCCACACAGCCCTGGGATTTTAGACAAAGCAGTTTTTATCTCGCTTTAACAAAAGAATCTACTTTTGTGCTCCTAAATAGCTCACTGAGAATGGTGAGGATGCATTTACTTCCACAGGTACATGCTACACCAAGAGTCAGTAAGCAACACTACAGGATGAGTCAGCACTCGGCCGCTTTTCTGTTTTGCTTCTCTCTATCGTGGTATTGAACCTCCCTTACTCTGTCATGTCCCCTTTGATGGAGCTATTGACTCTTCCCATTTCAGTATCAAATAACTGCTTTTGTGGGATTCACTACCTACAATGATTATAAAGAAAAAAAAATTTAGAGTTTAAAAACCAAAAATATTGAACAAGAAATGTAGATCCCAAGAAAAAATGGCAATGCTGATGTTTTAAGAACACTTGCATACACAGTTCTGCTTAGTATGGACAACATGCTGAAGTCTGCACTTCTGACCTAGCATACAGTTTGTTTTCAAAAAGGAAGAAAATGCTCAAACACGGTATCAAAATTATCAGTTGCTACAAATCCAATATTAGCACATATAGCATGTCCAGAGTGACTGGCTGATACACCATATGGAAAACAGCTAAAATCTCAATAGTTTCTTTTCTTACCATTTTATTACAACCAAATTAAATATCCCATCCATAAGTTACATGTGCTTACTTTTACAATCAACAAGCAACAGTAAGGCCTAAATACCCCAGCTGAAAAACTCTGATACTGAACCACAAAGAAAAGAGACTGAAACAAATCTGGAACCGAATAGCTATTGAGGAAGGTGAGCCACCAGCAGAGGCAGGCAATCTGGGTATGACATATGAACATCACAGGTGTGTGCCATTAGGATTCCCGTGTATTTAGAGTCATAGGAGAATAACATGAGAAAACATTAAAAACTGCTTTTAATTATTTTAAATTATTTATTAAATAAGTTTTTTTTTTTAAAAAAAAAAAGAGCTACAAGAAAAATATGAAAGTTAATCTTTGGGTTCTTAACACTTGAGTAATTTCTCTTCCTCACTTTTCTCAATACTACACAGATCTAGAAATCTAAGAAAATATGCTCTTCCCTGATGTTCTTAACCCAAATAATCTTTTCTATTTCCTCAGGTGAGAGCTTACGTCCTAGGGGTAAGAGAACAAGTTGAATATCTAATCTAGTTCATACTAAAGGACTAACAGTACCAAAAATTAGCTATTGCAAAAGAGTGGTATGCCTACAAAATGACCAGATCATTGTGCTCCCAAGTATTTACACAAAAGAAATACCAACAAAGTGTGGATGACAACATTCTTGTTCAAGAATGCTCATGGCTACTTCTATTTTTACTGGTCTAAACATTTGTACAATGCAGATCTCCATCAACAGATAAACAGATAAATAATCGTACTATCTGTTCTTGGAAAATTAATTTGTAATGACTAGCAATAAAGTGCCGATATCTAAAAACCAGTATAGATGAATAACAAAATTATTAGACTGAATTAAATAAAAAAAGGAAGACTTCTTTGCCCACAAGGAAGTATGAGCACTATCACTCCTTTTATATACCATTCTAGAAAATTCACATCATTCTCTAGTGATTAAAAAAATAGATCAGTTGCTAGGAGGGATAGAAGTTTGGGTGTTCTATACTTGGGTACAAAAAAATTGGGGGGTAATGAATATATTTGTTATATTGATGATGGTTTTATTATATGTGTATGTCAAAAATAATCAAACTTTAAATATGTATAATTTACTGAATGTCAATTATTATTTAATAAATTTTAAGAAAGAAAATGAGGTTGACCTCTCTGGCGTAAAGCAATTTTTTTTAAAAAGACCCTTATTTGGCCAGATGAATAAGTAAATTATAGAATTTCAGAGGGCTATATACTGAGAAATCTATGGTTTAAGTGGTTTCTCAATAACTGTACCTTTATTAATGTTCTACTATTTCTATTTGGTTGTCAGAAAAATCATGATGCATTTTTACATAGAAAAATATGCCATGACTTTTCTGACAACTCAGTACATATGATCTTTCATACGTGGTTTTGAGCATGCCAACATTAGTGATAGGATGTCTATAAATCATTTATTGGTAGTCTACCTGAAAAAACTGAGTGTGTTTAGAACAGAGCCACAGTTTTCAAAAGTGTATTATTTAAACATTAATTCCTTCAGACAGTAATTTCTGCTGCTAAAAAGAAGATCACTCCTTTAAGAGTTACAGGGCAGATTAGTGTACTAAAGTCTCAAAGAAATACTGAAGTCAAGAAACTCACAAGTATTTCCTCAAACTTACTTAACCAGGTAACCCCTTTTGGAGCAGAATCTAGAAAACATATTGTACAAGACTTGGAGGGAGGTAAAACTAGAGGGTGGTGCAGGAGTAACACAAGGCTCTGTGAAGCTGACTACATGGAAGGGAGCCAGATTCTGTCCCAGATCTTAATACATCAGATGTGTGAGTGCCCATGGTCCAGGCTGGTGAAGCCAGGATGGATCACACCACAAGGACTCTGTGTGCCTGTCTCTCATGCTCTCTCTCTCTCTCTCTCTCTCCTCTCTCTCTCTCTCATTCATAGGAGAAATGAATAAAAAGTGATGGCACAACTTTAAGAAGCCATAAGTACCTTTCCCTGGAAGCAAACAAGCAGAAGTTGGTTAACCTACCATTTGGAATGTTGTAGAGATGATCTATGCATTAAATAAAACAATCTATGCATTAAATAAAACAAATGACTTTCAGTCACTCAACAAAGTACTTGTAAGTATCTATAGTGTACTGTTAAGAGCTAGATAGGGAACCAGCAGTTAGTGTAATGGCTATGTCGCTGGACCCCCACGTAGTCGACCGCGGTTTGTGTCCCGGACCCGGTGGCTTAAAACTCACGCCGGGCGCGTGTGCGTGCGTGCCCAAGATCCCGAGAGGAGAATGGAGGAGAAGGGATTGCGGTGTGACCATCCCCCCTGGGGGGTGATTTCTCGCTTTCTGTCTCTATGTCTCTCTCTGTCTGTCTGGCGAGCGCACGCGTCCTACAGTGAAAATCTCTCCAAAAAAAAAAAAAAAAAAAAAGGAGCTAGATAGAAAATAAATTCTGCTTAAAAAGAAATCCCAGCCTAGTGGGGGCACAGTAACCCAGCCTTGGCTGATAGATCAGCTAAGTTCCAATACATTAGCCACTGTTACCAAACATTTCAATTATCAAGAAACACATTAAAAATTGTAATGGACACTAGAGACAAAGCTGAAAGAGAGTGTGGGAGGGGAAGAGTGTAGGAAAAGAAATTTGGGGGAGAGGATGGAGAGGAAAGACACTTGTGGGACACAGATAAAGCTTTTTATCTGTTGACGAGGATATGTATAATAGTCTCAACTGGGGTGGACTGAGGTGTATATCATGCTGGGTAAAGTCTCTTCACAATCTAAATGATGTATAGCATTTTAATGTATGAATAATAATTTTAAAAATTAATAAAAATTAGAAAAAAATTTAAAAAAGAAACATGGGCTGGAAATTATTGGGCTATTCTAAACTCACTGCCCAAGTGAAGTACATTGATTTTCCTATGAATTCTTTGAGTTCTAAAAAGTTAAAAACCAAATCTATACTTTTCTGTAGGAAAAGACATGCCTATATGTTTATTCTTATTGCTTTTTATTTATGCATATTAGATTCATTAATTAGTAGCCTTTAAAATTAATACTTGTACTGTATTGCCATTTCTAAATGAACTTGAGAGATCATTTCTACCCATATCAAAATGTTTACAGAAACATACTGTTTACTTATTATTCTATTTTTCTAACATAATTAGAAGCATAATTATATTTTTATAGAGGTTTTCCTAGCTGAACATTTTTAAATGAATATTTGGATAATCCAATCTATTAGATTCATTTTATTCTGTAAATTCTTATTTATGTTTTAACTATTTCTTATGAAGAAAGTCTAGCTACTATATTTTATGTCCTTTGTATTGACAAAGGCTTTATTTTGTATAAGACAATTTTAATTTCTCAGTATTTATTTATTTATTGAAATAAAAATTAAGTACAGG